ATTGATAATGATTGGGCAAATATATTTGGGGAAAATGGTCTTTGAAAAACACTTGTAGACACATGTATCATCACCTCTTCTGCAGATCATCCTAGAGGGACAGCAAGCAGTCTGACAATCAGGCCACCTTGGGGGTACTTGATGTGCAGAGTCAGCACTTTGCTTAGGTTACCCCAGAACAGTTTATCAGGGAAGAGCAAATGTTGGGTGGATTTCCTTTGCTGGGAGAGAGTTTATTTCCATTTTCTGAGCTTTCCCTACCTGTGTATAAGTAGCACCCACAATCAGGATACACAGATCTCAATAAAGGGGCAAGGAATCTTGTATGTTTCTATTCAAGCTGAAAAAATACCTTTTTAGCCAAAAGCAAGCACTATACATGGAAATTAATAATTCAGAGAGGTCAATGGGGGTGGGTCTGGCTGCTGTGGAAAGACACTGAATTTATAAACACAGCCAAAGCATGCTGGCACCTAGAGGGGGTAAGCACGAAAATGGCAACACAGGGTGATAATGTGGAATAATTTTTCAATCAGGAATATAAGCCTTACCCGTGAGCTCACAAGAGTATTTTTTAGTAAGGTAAGCCAACTGTCTTCCCTGAAAATCTTTACAAACTTGAAGGCCACCTCTTGATAAGGTTGTGTAAGAAGTGTATTCCTGAGAGAAGACAAGGGAATAATTCCCATAACCTGCAGGGATTTCTTTCCACTAGAGGGTTTGGCAAGACTATCACACGTTTAAAATAACAAAGTCAACACTGGAAATTCACTTTATTATGTTTTGATTTCACAGAAAATGTAGACTTGTAAATAACAATAGTTCTTTGTAACAATCTGCGTGACACTTTTATTAGCTCATGGAAGTGGGAGGTTTGGTTAAACAGGAATCATGTGAATATCAGGGGAAAAAAACTAGAGTTGGAACAACTATGATTTAGAAAAATAATAATCATGTTGGGCTTTGCAAACCACCTGTCACCTTGCTGATCCCCTGAAAAATGTAAAGAACATTCTCATGGATGAATGAAAATTTTCTCTGCCTAGGTAAGGAAAAGGTCAAAATAAGCACGCCTTTGTGAGCTTATTTATACCAGTGGATTCTTTTTCAGAAGGTCAGTACAGACCTGACAAAAGCAATTCACCAGCTTTGGAACTGGCGAGGTTTATTTGTTAAGAGTACACTTCTTTCTCTTAAGACAAGGAAACCCAGGTTGAAGTACAGTAAATAGACACAAAAGAATGGTTCTGGTCGATTGGACACCACTCTGAGCCTTTATTTGGAGAGCAGGCAAGAGGGGAGATGAATGTTCTTCAGCTGAGCGAGACCACACCAGCCCCAGGCCAGCCTTTAATAAATGAGAAGTAATAACAATATCTTGGCCTGAAAATGCCATCGAGGACAACTGCATGCACCGTCATGTTGGCTGCCTCTGAGGGAGCCCTGCTTTAGGTTTTGTCGAGCTGATGTAAGATTCCTTAATAAATTAATCAGGCTGAGAAATGTCAATGTGAAGCTAGATTTTCTGACTTTAAAGCTACTTTCTTTGAAAAAGAAACGTGATACCTGATGTTTTCAAGCTTTGTGATAACTCTGATGGAAAGGAATACGGTTATGACAATCGAGAACGTCTCTTGAAATGAACCTTGGCAGCCTCGCACAGAGCTACAGACAGGGCGGAGAATGTGAGCAATGGCCCGAGGCCCTGCACCTCTAGGCCTCCCGATGCCTCGGGGAGAAGGTGCTGGGAGGGGACAGGGGAACAACAGCAGAAGGAGGGGCGGCGGGTACCCACAAGAGCTGAAAAAGCCACTCTGCACCATCACCAAGCTCAGCCAGTCACTTGGCAACAATCACCTGGTTCTTTCCCTCTCAGTTCTTTTCCCATCATCTGGCCCCATACGGAATATATTGCCATTTGATAGATCCTTCAGGGATGTTCCTTTCAGTCTGGTGATACCCGTATTATGCCAGGGCCTCCATCCTGGAGGGGCAAGGAGCCACAGCTGATCGTGGTCACCGCACTTGGGGCTTTTGTGCTGGAGCTTGGATGGGAGAGGCTGTCCGAGGTGTAACCGGGATACATCCTTGACAAAGCATGCTCACAGAATACAAAAGTCAGTCCGGTCCAGTCTTCCAAAGCGCAGACCAATGTGGGGAGGCACATTTATTGAAGAAGACAACTCATTTGCTAAGACTCAGAGTCATGTGCAGATGGTATCTTTAGAAAGATATGTAGATATGTAGAAAACCCCATTGAGTTAGTCAAGATCTCCTATTGTGTTGGAACTTTTTCAGACATTGCCGAACATTAATGGGCATCCTCTTGGGCCTAGAAAACTTGGTTTTATCATAAGATTTTCACTGAGAGGGAACTTGTAAGGGATCTGAACTGAATGGGTTCTTTTACTTTGTTTTGGGTAATTTGTGCCGTACATTCCCTTAAAAGCCTCAGGTAATCCAGAGTTCAGTCTACCTTAGAATCATGGCATATTGATCTTCCCCCAAACCCTAAAGAAAATGAGTTTGAATTTATCTTCAACCGGTTTTTAATTTTTTTTCCAATAGTGGAGATTTCCTCTTTCAGAAGTAAAAGCAGATAAAAATACTTCATTCTCTTATTACTCCCTCTATCATGGCCACACCCACTGCCATTTGAGAGGGCTGTCACAGTCTCCCTTACAGATTTGGAAAATGTAGGCAGGTTTCTATATGGATATGCCTTATGCCCTTGCTCCTTATCAAGAAGGATGCATCTCAGCATGAAATGAAAGTCAGATCAAAACATCCCAGCAATTAAAAGAAATCATGACCATCCCCTTTGGATGCTAAAATGACTTAGAATCCACTTGGGTTAATTCTGAGACAAACTAGATAAAGTGCTTGACTTTCCTGACTCCTCTGTTTGCAGTGGAGATTGGGGGCAATGGCAGATAAGTGCACAGAGGCCTTCACCCCTCTTGGTCTCAGCTTCCTCAGATACAAACTGGAGGGAGCTGAGATGTCCTCTTAGATCCTTTCCATTTCTAAATACACCCATGGATTTATGATTTCATAGTTCATCCAGCAGGGAAAAGGGCTGATGGCTGTGGGACCACCGTGCAAGTCCCCTCTCAGCCCCACCAGAAAAGCGTCCACAGGCACCTGAATGTAACTAAGACAACCCACCTGCCCAGCCTTCCCACTCACCCTCAAAGGCCCACACTGAGCTCAGAGCAACTCTGCCCTGCTCCACTCTTCCCATCCTCTGAATCCATAGAATAAAAAGAGGAAAGAGTTACTTTGGAAAATCAGATGACAAATTTGGGGGTTTGGGAGTGAAGGAAAGGAGATGAATTCTGTCATTTTGATGAGGGCTGGGAGGCAAGCATCAATTCTGACAAAGTACTGCAGCAGGTTGTTGTCCATAAGCTTCAGTCTAGATGTCCTGCTGCAGAGCAAGGACCAAGAAACTGAAGGCCAGGCTGTCAATGAATGAGTGAGCCTCGATCGCTGGACACCAGATGCATAGAATGGAACATCCTGTTAGTAAATGTGAAGAGACCACACTGAGAACCAGAACCTACTTGTACCAATGGGATGAGAAGTATCTTCAGATATTTCATCTTTCTTTCCCTTAATATACAAAATGGGGCAGCAGCCTCTCTATTTTCCCTGGATTTCATCTTCTGGCTCATGGCTGAAGCCAGCCACAATCTGCACGTTGACGTTCCCATAATTACAGCTGGTCCCTTAAATATAGTCTCCAAATGACGATTTGCTTGCAATATAATACAGTAGGGTTGCCAACTTTATAAGCAAGGCTATGTGTCATTTGCTCTAGGCTATGATGTCTTGTCATCTTGTCAGCATCAGATGAACACAGTTCAATATGCCAGCTCTTTCGAACGTGCTTGAAGGGTGATGGGTACAAGCTGATGCTCCTCAGCACACGTGGCCAACTCGTTCTGGGCATCTGTTTATGGTGAAGGCTGTCCAGGCATGACTTAGCTCTGGAAACCTCTGTCAGCATGCTGATTCCCTGGTCTTGTCATCCCCAAAGTTTTCCTTCTCAAAGCCATTTCAACTACAAAATTCCATGGGTCACATGCATCATACCAGATAGGAATTTTATTCCCCCTTTTTTCCTTATCTGTCAAGACACATTTTCTGATATTCCACTCACTAAGTTATTTTCCTCTATCTTCCCCCAATAGGCACAAAATACTGCCAGATCATCAATCTTCTTTTAAATTCCTTTCAGATGCTAAGAAGGAAGTCTCATTTCTTAAAGCTTCTTTATATCAAGAGGACAGTAATGCAAAGCAATTCCTTTCTGAGGCTCTTGCTATTGTAAAGATTCCAAACTGTACCAAAGGACAACGGTTCCATCTTGTCACATCAAACGTTAATATGGCAATAAACGTCTTGAAAAATATGCATTTTAAACCTAAAGTTCATTGAAAGCCATCCTTCTTTAAGCAATTACCAATTACCCCTGGAGGGGTGGCTGTGAAAATCACTTGATCAGGCAAAAGCCTTGCTTGGTCTTTTCAAGATTTAAAGTTAATTCAGTGGCAGTTGGTCCTGCTGTCTTTACCCTCCAGAGAGAAGTATAGAATTTTGGAACTGTGAGCATTTATTGTGAGACCACAAAACAAGCTCCTTTGGGACACTCTTTTCCCCTCTGGCTAAGTGCTCCTGAAAGAGGAAACATCTAGGTGGGTGGAGACGGGATCAGCCCCCCACCCCCCCCACCCTCCTTCCCCTCTTAGCAATCTGTCCTGATCAGGAAGAGACATGCCCCCAGAATGCTTGAAGTCGGGGAGGATAAGGCATGCTTTATGTGCAGCATGTGGCCCCCGTCCTGAGGCCCCTGCGGAGGGAGAAGGGGCTTCTGTTGAGACAAAGGTCACATGCCTTAGGAAATATCTCCCCGAGAAAGCCCGGAGGCCCAGGGTCCTGGCCGGATCCCACGGAGTCCCCGCAGGAGGGCAGGTGGGCGGGGCCTTCCGCTGACGTCATGTGGGAGCCGCCCAGTCAGCACTCTTGGGGGCCTTGCACGTGTGCACGTCCAGGGCCTCCAGACAGTCCTGACAGCGCACGGCACAGCACCAGTGGAACTTACACTCGCACTTGGTCATCCGGGTGACGCGCGAGGTGTCGTAGCCTCTCCCGCAGCACATGACTTCGCAGCTGTCCATGCCGCGGGAAGTCAGGTTGCACACGCGGCCTGCTGTCCCTGGGGAGCCTGGAAGACAAGCGGGGGAGGGGACACTGAGAAGGTGTGGGCCGAATACGGTGGGCCTCAGGTAGGCGCCCGGCCCCTCGTCACCACGGCCTGGGGCTGAGCCACCTGTTCTGGGGCCCAGGCAGGGTCTGTCGGCCCCAGGCACCGGCCCCAGCGAGTGTAGCCGTGCCCACAGGGCCAAGTCCAGGAAAGATGGATGTGAAACTTTGGACCTGCTGTGGGCAACTTAACTCTAGTGCTCCCACTTCTGAGCTGGATAAACGTTTCCGTTTACCCCTACCCAGCCTTGCATTGGTGGATCACTGAGTGGGCAAGGCCAGCTCAGAACCGAAGAAGGATCTGTCCTAGCTCCCTCTCACCGGCCCTCAAACCACATCAAGGAAGCAGTGACCCACGTTAGGGCTCTCAGAATTTGTCAGGGTGTGGAACCCTCAAAGGGAGGGGATTCTGTCTCCCCAGACCTGACTACGCTGCCTTACTAGAAAGAGGCGGGAACTCTGGCGGCTGAAGGGGAGCTGTGGGCATCGTTTGTGTAAGACCTGGAGGAGCAAGCGCTGCCGTCCGGTGGGCCATCTAGATGTGTGTGAGGCTCCTGGTCGAAGCCAGGATGCTAAGCCTTCAGTGAACAGAACTGGCATAAAAACCTGTTAGGAACTACCAGTGGAATATTGTCTTAGTTACTTGAGGTGAGGTTTCTTAAATGGCAATTCATTTTTATGTATTTGTGTCTGAAAAAGACTCAAAGATAAGATGTCTCTTGATGTGTCCTATTCCTGGGGAATTCTTATAAAAGAATTCTTTTATAAGAGCATTATCAGACGATTGCTCAACTCACAAGGATCCTTTCTGCTTCTTTCTCCCCCACAGAAACGGGCATTTGGCTGCCATGTTGAACAACATCACCTGCTCTGCTGGTGGCAGGTGATTGGGCCAAGCGTGGGGACCTGGCTTGTGCTAGCCGAGCAGGTAAATTTCCCTGGGGACTGGTGGGTTTGCTGGAGCTAGGCGGTCGCACCAAATACACATTCAGTAGCCAGCCACGGGCAGCCGTACACCATGACGACGTATGGGGGCCAGTGGTCTACAGAGAGATGATGACAATGAGGCAGATGTACAGAGACAGAGAGGACAAGACGTGGAAAGAGGATGCTGCCCAGATCCTGGACTATCTTCCTGGAGCTGCTTCCATTTCTCCCTGAGGCCTGGCTGCATTCCAAACTTTGGGCTCCTAGAGGTTCTGTATCCTTATGAAAAATTTCCCCTTTCAGCTTAAACCACTCCATCTTCTATTGCTTGCAATCAACAATTCTAAATAATTGACAAACCGAGAGAAGCTAAGCTCCTTATTAAAAAAAAAAAAAAAGGATGTCAGGATGAAAAAGACAGTGACTTCATTCATTTTCAGTTCCTCTATCATTTAACAAGGAATTTCTCCTGCTTTATAACTCCTGGCCTGCCTCGTGACTCTCTCTTTGTTTATCACAATCCAACTGTGTTCCAATTATCTACATAAATGTCATGTTGCCCTGCCTGTCAAGAATGACCCGGGAAGCAGCCAGGTTCCAGCAGGGTGTGGGGTGGAGAAGAGGAGAGGGGTGGGCAGAACTCGTTCTGTGTGATCAGGCCACTGACAGCAGGAAGGCAGGCAGGGGATTTCATGATGACAGGAAGGATGGCAAAGGGCTGGGGTCAGGGGGGACAGGGGGGCCAGCCAGGGATGGCCAGGAGCCTCTCTCGTGCTGAAGAAGCACCCAGCTAGAAGAGGCAGCAGCTGGGGCTAGGTTCAGGGCGACGGTCAGGACAGTGCTCAGAATTACTAACTGGACAAGAAGGACGCACTGCCAAATGCCGCCTCTTAACAGCATGCCTGTTATTTCATTCAGCAAACATCTAATGAATACAGACATGTAAGACACCGTGCCGGCTGCATAGAGTTTTGGGTAGTGGTGGTGGAGAAATAAAATAATTAGAATTCACTTCCTCTTCTCTGAGAACTCATACTATAATGAAGAGATTAATATGTAAAGAGATACCTCCACTACTTCTAGGTAACTGTTCCATTTGCTGAAGACCTGCTGTAACCTCCAGGAGAGATTTTGCAAAGCACCACTGCAGACAAAGCTCATGATGGTAGAATGAGGTTATTTAGAGCTTGGACACATCAGGGTTCAAGTCCTAGCTTTTGCCATCTATCAGCTGGGTGGCCTTGGGCATGCCATTAGGTCTCATTAATCTCATTATGCGTCAGTTTCTTCCCTTGCTGAACTGGGATAAAAACGGAGTTCCTTCCTCACAGGGCTGCGGTGAGGTGGGGAGGAGATCCTGCATGAAAAGCACCTGGCAAATAAGGGCTCAGTTAATGTTACCCTTCCATTCACTTAGCCTGTGTTTATTGAGTGCCTAAATGTGTTAGGCACAGTTGTGGGAGCTTGGGATATATCAGAACAAAATAAAGATCCTGCCCTGAGGAGCTTATGCTCTAGAGGGAGTGAGCCAAATATATAGTAATGATAATGAGTGCTATTAATATCGATAGCAGCAAACAGGATCAGAAAGGAGCTGTTAACAGCCCAGTTTTACAGAGGTGGCTTCGGAGATAGGACAGAGAGGGTAAGTAGATCTGGAGGCAGAAGGGGGTGAAGGGCGTCCTAGGTAAGAGAGAACCTCCCAGCAGACCCCCCGGTGCGTGTTCGTGGGACCGCAGAGCCAGTGTGGCCACTGCGCAGGCGGGGGCGGGCCAAGAGCCCGGAAAGGGAGCCGGGCACGGGATTAGGGCCTTCCTGCCTTGCTACAGTTTGGGGTTTTATCCCATGGGCAGTGGCGAGCCTGTCCAGATTTGTTAGCAGTGGAAACCCTGTCGGAATGGGGCAGGGAGGTATCCTTGAGGCAGCTGGATTCGTCCAGGCAGGCGATACTGAGCGTAGGACAAATATGTGACTGGCGAAAGGGGGAGAATCACTAGGACTTGGGGACTCACTGAATTGGGGGGAGGGGGTCAAGGAGGAAAAGACTGAAAACAGTGCACTTGGCTCAACACGAAGGAGGTAAGGGGTGCCCTCTGATGAGAGCTGCTTCAGCAGAACCACAGGACGGAGCCGCGATCGTGGAGTGAATGGGGGGCGAGGGCAGACGGACATGGAGTGTGGCCAGTTTTCAAGAAACTTGGTGGCAAAGCGCACGAAAGAGCATGGCTGCAAGGAGTGATGAGCCCGAGGTGGGACTTTAAGGTTATTTTAAGCTGTGAAGTTTATGGGTGGTTTGTTTTGCGGTAGTAGACACTTGACACAATTCGGAAGGTTCTAATTACATAAAGTACAAAAGTGGGAAAACCCAGTCTATGTTATTAGAAGTCAGGGTAGTGATTTCCCTTGGTGAATAGTGAGAAGGGGCATGAGGGAGGCTTCTGGAATACCAGTCCTCTTCAGGTCTTGGTCTGGGCCTAGATTATATGGGTGTGTTCATTTTGAGACCATTCCCTGAGCTATACACGTGGCGTGCAATTCTCTGTACGTGCTTCACGTTCCAGTAACGAGGAGAAGAAGGAGGCCAGATACACAAAGCCAGGAAACCAGCAAAACCCTGATATGTGAGCAGCATAAAGAAAAGTGTGTAACCTGGCTGGAATGAAGCATTCAAAGGGGAGCGTGGCAGGAGGTGAGGCGGAGAGGTGGGCAGAAGCCAAGACGTGGAAGGCCTTGTGGGACAGGTAAGGGCATTGAAACTTTAACCCAAGGACAACGGAGTGCTCCTGAGAGTTTTTACCCAAAGTGGGGCATGATGGATTTACATTCCGAAGGCTCGCTGTGGGTGCTGGGGTCAGATGGACTGAAGGGGGCCAGGGTAAAGGCAAGGAGCCAAGTTAGAGAGCGGTGAAGTGCCCTGCACAGGGCACAGGGTGACAGGGACAAGGACAGTGGCAGCGGGGGTGGGAGAGGTTAAAGGGGCAGGGGATGTGGAGGAGGCAGGACGGGCAGGGAACGGAGGGTGAGGGTCAGGAAGCGCTCCCAGGCTCCTGGCTCAAGGGACTGGATTTATGCGGGTGAACTTCCTTGGGGTGGGACACCTGGGGAGGGGCAGGCTTTGAGCCAAGATCCTGAGTTTTGTTTTCAACATGTTGACTTTGTTGTGACAGTGGGTCATCCAGGTAGAAATGTTCACTGAGGATACTCTTTGGGACTCAGGAGAGAGGTCAGCATGAGGATGCAGAGTGGGAAGTCTTTACGTCAGAGGTGGCCCCTGGAGCCATAGTGCAAAGGAGACCCCCAGGGTGTGAAAAGCAGTGTCACCTGCCACACTAGAGGCCGCTCTGAATTTTCACCTTGTGTTTTGTCCATAAGCCCTGCCCACCCATAAGCATTCCTCACTTCCACCAATATGCATTCATTAAAATATGAATACATGCAATTGGAATTTTCTCTCCCCCTTGGTGCTGTGAGGTGGAGGGAGGGTGTCGCTAGGACAGGGAGGTGAAGAGTGTCATTCCCGAATCACCCTGTGGGCTATTGACCGACATCGAACTTGGTTACAGAATGCCCGAGAACACTGCTCATCTGAACATACCACTCTCCACTGGGCAGACAAACGGGGTGTAATGAGGGCCCAGAAGAAGGAGGATGAGAGGGGTTTTTGAAGGTTGAGAGCCAGTGATAAGAGAACAGTGGTGAGGTCACAGCCTGGAGGAGGAATGCCCCCCTTCCGAGGACCCCAGGCTCCCAGGAAAGTGCCAGCCGAGAGGTGCACAGCGGACTCTGTCGTCTGGGGAGAGGGCGAGGCTACCGGACCATGGACTATAAATTGGCCCTTACTTTGGGGTTTGGATCTAATTAGATTTAATGACACACTGTAGAGCAGGAGGGCAATTTTGACACTTGCTGTCATTTGAGCAGAATATAGAGCCATTTCATCAAAACCCTGAAAAGAACATTTCTAGGGTGCAGAATCTATACAAAATTTGCTCTCATTGCTTTCCTTTAGCGGAATTATAATAAGGCCCATTATTA